AGCATGCCCAAATGCTTCCCTAAAAATATTTTACGGATGATGTTCAGCTCAGCCTAAGTGCCCAGAACAAAAATTTAAATCTCTGAAAATCTGTTTAGCTAAACCGAACAATCTCACTGTGCACAAATCTATTAAATACTTTAACAAAAGAAAAATAGTTCTGGAAACTTACTTTTATGCATGACAGGTTTTTCCATGATAACATGAATAAAAATAGTCGTAAAATCAAGAAATAACCTTGCTTGTTAGATATTGTCAGTAAACTGGTAGAGACGTGGCAGCATTGCGGAAAATGTGTTTTCTTTTGAATTTTCCCTACTGAAAAATTACTTAAAAAAAGTTTTGAGAGGTTCTTCAAAAAGGTTGTGTGGTGCACCAAGGAAGATATTTTATCCAAACTATTCTCACTCTCAGTCATAGGCCAAGAAATCACATTTCTGTCAAACCCAAAACTTACACATAACCTGTATTTTTTCTGTTTATCTCTTTATTGTATCCTTCGTCATTTTTGTTTCTTCATATTGAGCAATCCATATTGTGTATCGAGTTAAAAGGAGGGAGATTTTTTTTTTTTTTTTACATCTATGTGTATATTTCTCTTTAAAAGCATTTATATTGTATTGTAATGTGCAGGAAACAATAATAGGTATGTTGCCAATACAAATGAAAAATTTGTGGTGATTGTTTTTTTAGTCATTTTGTTCACGTATACAATCCAAGAATAATGCACATCTTTGCACAGATTACTATATGGTCTTGTCAGTAATGTCGTTTATATATACTACTCTCAAGAGGGGCATGTATCAGCTAACTACAAATAAATCAATAGTAAAAATTAAAGAAAAAAGTTACTTGCGCACTATCCCAAATCTTAAATAACTGGAGATTTTTAGTGACATTGGAGAATGGCCATTAAAGTGTAAGGTCACCTACCAAGTCAGCTTAATGTAGTTGTTCTGGTGTTTGTAGTATGTCTATAGTGTCCTTTTAATATATATATATATATATATATATATATATATATATATGCAAATATAGGGAACAAGAGGCAAGCACTCACGGTCTTTTGGTTTCTTTAAAACGATTTTCCTTTTATTTCATTGCTTAAAACTTGATCGACGTTTCAGCCACAATACATGGCTTTCATCAGGATCTTTACAGCTCCCAATCACCTTTGAAGTATTCCTTGGGTTGCAGTTTGTTGAACCATCTTGCTGACCTTGATACCCCATCGGCTATCACTTGAGGAGGGATATTTAAAGAAAAAAACCCCATCTACATCATGGGGAGGCACCCATAATACGCTTTACCATTTTGGAATATGTGAGTGCATATCAATCATTTAATTCTTATAGTATCAAGCAATATTTGCACTATGTTTTATCCTCTATTTTAGGTACACTAGCAGAATCCCAAAATATCCTATCAATTATACAGTTCTGTCAAATGGTTATCAGCTGGGAAATAACCTTGGGAAGCAGTGTATCTATAAGTTAAGTTATATATATATTTTTTTTCTATACAGATCACTTTGTTCACGGGTGGTTGTGTGTATTTGAAGTATACATACTGCAGCCAGTTATGGGAACACTCTAATACAACCTTTTGTTTATTGCGAGCATACTTTCGTTTAATGTTTAGCAAACTTTCGTTTATTTGCAAAGATACTTTCGTTGCTCTGTTCGTTATTTTCGTATGGGATACATAAACTGTCATTGTTTAACATGCTGGTGTGTCACTCGGTCATAGCAGCAGTGGCCAATTCTGTTTAAACTTCGCTGGCATGAAAATTCATTATAATGTCTTTTTCCTGCTTTCTAATATCTAAATACATACTAATGAACTTCTCATTATGTCAAAAAAAAAAATCTATGTCAAAGCATTTATGTCACTCTTTTAAAACGTCCTTGTTTTTCTACTCTCTAAAATATACGAAATCAGAATGTCCTGACGGCAGTTAAGGTATAATTTTATTACAGTATTTCTCCTCAAAGCATAGCTAATGTGTTTTATAAATATATAAGTATGCTAATCAGGGTAAGATTATGCTTAGATTCTGTCTTGTGCATTGCTAACTGGTGTTTCGGTTAAACTTTCGTATGCATTATCTGTTCGCATAAAACGCTTATGTTCTCCATTAGTATACACAGTCACACTTTCGCACAAACTTTCGTTTATTTGTATAAACTGCCTCATACCTAGCAGTTCAAGTTCATTCCGTTTATACAGCATTATTAAACCAGTTTTTTTCTCTCAATTAAAACGGCATTGCATGTTGCATTTCGTTTAATTTACCTAGTCTTTCTTTAAGTCATCCATTTCATGGTATTTATGTCTTAATTAAAAAACGAACAGCAATATCCTAATCAGGATGTCTTATGGCAATTAAGGTCATACTTTCACTGTGTTTTTTTCCTTAAACCATAGCTAAAGCGTTTTATTGGTATATAAGTGTGTTAATAGGTCTATATTATGCTCTACTTCTGTCTCCGGCATCTCATGTTCCTAATAACACTAGGCTGTATATAAATAAGATGACAATTTAGTACGTTTTTCCCTCCTGTTAAAGATCGTACAATTACTGTTACTGATTGCTAAGGGGCCTTATGGGTTTAATACACCACATATATATATATATATATATATATATATATATACACCCTCTATTGGAGGGACATGACTATAAACCTCCACTCGTCTTTGTATATATCTTCGGAATTATGGTAAGGCTTCACTATCCTGCCAATGTTTAGGAATCATAATAAAGAAACTAAATTTCATGTATTTCCTTCTGGTAACGTACTATAAATGAATAAGTCACATTAGTTTCAAGTTTTCACCCTACCAGGATAAGCCGCACAGGATCCTCATCCGTTGCATAAATTACGACGTCGCTCACATATAAAACAAATCAAAACCTCCAAAGACCATACAATTATCAATGCAACTATGTTTCATTTCATTCAATTATCTACACAATAAACAAACGTAAACCAACTGATCGCATAACGTTTCAACAATTCGTCTCTGCCGTCAATAGTCATGGTACGGTTAGTAATTATTGTACAGTTAGCTAATCATGGTGTTATAGTTGCAATATCAACTGGTAATGGTTATGGTGTTACAATTATAATGTCGTACAGTAGTTTTGGTGACGTCAATGTAATGTCGGTAGTTATGGTGTCAGTCAGTAGGTAGGGGGTTGTGCGCAATTATACACTTTACACACTTTTTACAAGACCGCTAAACACCAAAAGCTCAAATTTGTTAGCAGGATACGGATCGTTCTTTCTACTACAGTATACATTATACAGGAGAATCAGCAGGTACGTTAACGAAATAAAACCAGTTGGGGTTAGGACAAGGTTTAAGCTCTCGCCAATTTAGGTATGGTCCCGTAGGCCTCCTCGCCTATAAGTCAAGTGGTCCCGCAATGCATACAATCAGCCTTCCGATCAGAGGTTCAAGCCCAATCGACCCAACGCATAGTTATAGCCTTGCATCAAGTCATAGTTAGGGCCTCACCCGTAACGGCCAATTGATTTTACAATCTTTTACATGTCACCGAGAGGCCAACACCCCGCCACCCACCTCAGTGGCACAAAGGCCCCACGGGACAAGTCATAGGTAGAGCCTCTCAAAGCCACTTGGCAAGTAGTCAGGGTGTCACCTGTCACCAACATAAGCTAGTTAATACAATTTCGCCTGTAGGCACTACTCTAGTAAGCTGGGTCACTGCAGATCTATACGGTACCTTTCTAACCAAGTCATCTGCCACACTTCCTTAGCATGTCTAACGCTTCTATTCAAGGAGACGTTCTGTCAGTTACCAGCACCCATCTCAGTTCAGGCTCGCAGAGAGTACTATACAAACACAGACTGGGGTCAGTTACATACGGAACGGTTTCTAAGGCATTTTTCGGGTCTCAAAACACCTTCCTGCGCCATAAGCTCAGCAACAGCCCATACGATCAAATTTCATCCTGGAAACGTAGCTATTCCCTCAACCAGTAAGCCAACGCTGCACATGAGTGGTTCACTGGCTTTGCATCTTTTCCTAAGTTGTATACAGCAAACAGACTCAAAGGAATCCATGTTTAAAATGGAATGAGGCAAAAATTAGATTTTTATATACACACATATATATATATATATATATATATATATATATATATTAAAGGGACACTATAGTCACCAGAACACTGGGTGCCAATGACAGGTTGAGAGTGTCAGCTGATGTTTATAGACTAGAATTGGCCACCCATTGTGAGTAACAGTACAAGGATAGAGGCATACTACACTTACCAGAATAACTACAAGAAGCTTTTGTTCTGGTGACTATAGTGCCCCTTTAATATATATTAAAGGGGCACTATAGTCACCAGAACAGCTACAGCTTAATGTAGTTGTTCTGGTGTGTGTAGTATGCCCCTGCAGGCATTTTAATGTAAACATGTTTTTTCATGTTTACATTACTGCCTCCCTAGGAACACCTGTTGTGGTAGACACTGAGACGACCACTAGAGGTGCTTCCTGGGTCAGTGCTGCACAACAGTGCTGAACGTTCCCCATAGAGATGAACTGATTCAATGCATCTCTACAAGGAAATACTGATTGGCGCAGCACAGTGTTTTGCTGCACATGTGCAGTAGCCTCCCAATGCTTTCTTATTGCAAGACATTGGATTGGCTGAGATCATCAAAAATGATTATCTCAGCCAAGGACCAGACATCTAAAGGATGTTTTCATGCCTATAGAGTTAGGAATACACATTTAACATAAACCGTGTCAGTAAAAATCATGTCTAGTATAATAGTTGAGAAAGCAGATGCAGGCTAAATCTAGTACATTTCTAGTCAAAATGTAGTTTTAGTTTATTATAAAATGCATTTGAAAAACATATATAGTACGTAGCATAGGGGATCTAAGCAGCATTTTAACAGTCTTTTGGACAAGAGATTTGGAAAACACATTAATAAGACGCAAAGGAAAGGATATGTGTAAATGTAGATTTATTAGCATTGTTCATTATATAATAAAATAGCTAAACTAGAAGACAGACATTATTTCAGCTTGGCTGTTTTTTTGGCTTAAAATTTTAAATGGTATTGTCAATTCTCCTTAAATTTAGGCTGTGGCCCCCTTTCCACCCTTAGGATTTCCAGACCTCAGCAAGGCATAGACAGATTTTTACATTTTGGTCTATTATACAAAATCAAAAAATCAAATGCGAACTAACTATTCAACATAACATTGACTGGATTTCAAAATAATATTTTCTGATGAAATATTTGATCAGCATTTGTAAAGCAGTCTTTTAACCTGGCAGAAATACATTATTTATATGTTTTCATTAGTCCTGTTTTCAGATTTTGCTGTTTACATGTATGGGTTAATTAACAACATAGGCATCCTCTCTTGTTGGGGGTCTTCCTGCTTTTGTCCATCTCATATTTCTAACTACATTTTATATGTAACTATAACAGTGGCTGAGCTCAGCCATCAATCAAGCTACACATAGAAAATACAGAAATAAAGGAGCACATGGATTTAATTAAATGAATACTATAGGGTCAGGAACAAAAATATGTATTCCTGACCCTTTAGTGTTAAAATCACTATCTAGTCACCCCTTTTACCCCAAGATATAGTAAAATCTTACTTATCTTTATTCCAGACTGCTGCTGCTGGTTCTGCCCCTGATTTGCCTGCTTGGCTGACATCATCAGAACTGGTGATCTGAGCCAATCGCAATATTTTCCCATAGGAAAGTATTGGATTGGCTCAGATTGTTAAGAAGGCATATCAGGGGCAGAGCAAGCACAAGCCAAACATAGCACTGGCCAATCAGCATCTCCTCATAGGGATGTATTGGATCAATGCATCTCTATGAGGAGATTTCAATGTCTCCATGCAGAGGGTGGAGACACTGAATGTCAGTGATGCACACTGTGCAGCACTGCCCCAGAAAGCACTTCTAGTAGCCATCGGATGAGTGGCCAGTCGAAGTATCCTAAGGCTGTAATGTAAACACTGCATTTTCTCTAAAAAACTGTGTTTACTGCAAAAAGCTTGAAGGTGATAATTCTACTCAACAGAACAAACACAATAAGCTATAGTTGTTCTGGTGACTATAATGTCCCTTTAACTTTTAGTGAAGCCAATAAAGTATATCTAAGGATCACCTAATATAGACAAAATATAGTTAATCGTTTTTTACATTCTACTTGATGAAAAATGCACTATTTAAAAGACAACCAACACAAAATTGGATTACTGGCAAACTAACTATGATGATTTCCTCCCCACTTCCCCCCTTTCCCACCCTCTCTCAATTTTAGCTCAGGTCTTTAGATTAGTGTCAATAAATGTGTTAACTTGCAAGTTACTAATTAATGCTATCATGAGAAATGGGCTGTAGAAAAAAATATATAGATATATCCAAGAACCAACATGACATACATTACCAATCTAGAGGCATTTATACATTTGCATTAAGAAGGAAATAAAGACATTCTAAAAACAGTCAATATACAGGTTGATAATATTACAAAGCAATAAAGTTGTAGCTCTTCAGAGCACATCAGCTTTGGCAAAAAAATTCTAGTTCTTGCCTTGGTGGCAGTTGGTACTAGTTTTTTTGCAATAGCAAAATGCATTAAAGAAACGACAATAACAGGTGGCACAGGGGCTGCAGCATGGGAGATGGCCGACACAGGACTCTAAAAGTTGGACACATCTTCTAGGTGATCGCTCTTCACGAGAAGCTACTTCCAGGGACAGAGCCTAAAGGAAAGAAATGAAAAAGGTATTTGTAGATAATTACCAAATGTTACAATCTATAGCACACTCATTCCTGTAGAACAGATCTAAGGTAGCACTGCCATCCCCATGGAAACGTAAAGGGACTCTATAGGGAACCAGAATATTTAATTTTAACAAAGAAATCTAGTTGCAGTTTCCTATGCGTTTTAGTCCTACAGTTGGAAATATTGCAATTTTGTACATACAGCAATGTTTTCATTGCACCTCCGGTGGCTGTCTTTTTGAAGTATTTTCAAATGTATTTTCAAATGCTTTAACCAATTTTCTTTTGGAGTTATTCACTAAAGTTAGTTATGAAGAATAGTTAACAAACTTAAATCTGTTAAGTTTATATAATTGGCACTACAGAAGGGATATGATAACATTATACAAATATATTTGGGCCAGTACAAAATATTGTCTAGAAATCTATTCATAAACAGGACTATACATAGGGCACAATGTCACACATTTAGAGTGGAAAGAAATGAGATTTAGTCTAAGGCAAAATAAAGTTGTTGTTTTTTTGCAGTAAGGACGTGAAATTCTCTACTTCAAGAGGTGGTGTTATCAGAGTCTGTGCAGATGTTTAAACAGCAATTTGATCAATATTAGCAAATACATAGCATTCAGGGATATCATTTTTCATTTGTGGGGTAATAGCTACATTTTACATTCACTTTGAATTCTCACTTTAGTAAATAACTCCATTTGAGTGTTTAAATAGTGAATGTTACCCTTGGATCCAGCAGGCTATAATCTTCCATCTGATCTTCTTCGGCTATTCCTGCTTCCAGTCTCATCAATTCAGATTTAGCCAGTTCTGAAATATAGAGGAGGTATTTTATAAACATACAAAATAATGGCACTTTGATTTATGAGAACACCATCAAAACTGTAGCCATCTAATGTGTATCACCTTATCTTATTTAAATCACTGCAATAGGTGTCTTGATATGGTTTCAATAATTATTTTTGCTCCATAATTTTAATTAACTTAAAAAATGTAGGCTAAACTTATCAGACATCATGTTGGTTGATTTTATGACCTTAGTGCTTTTTGATTGAAATTCCCAGAACACTCACATATATGTCTGTTTAAACACAAGAATGCTATATAAATTTCACCTAAAAGACATTTTGAAGAAATAATAGAATATTTTGTGTTCTAAATTAGTTCAGGTGATTATGTACTTACATGTTTCTAGTTTTGAGTTAGATTACGACTTGCCTGCTGTGGGTGACTGTGAAGTGGTGACAAGTTAGCATCTTGGCCACTAGGTGTCACCAAAATTGTCTATTTGCCAGCTATAGCAACTTCTGTTTCAATCTTTGCATCCTTCTCATCCAATCTCTGAGAAGCATTGGGGACCTAATCATATGCATACACTGCGTGTGCCACAAGTAAATTCAAGCTTACACATATCAATGCTTTACTATGTGGCAGAGTGTTAGTTAGTGCCACAGAAGCGCCTCTTGTGGCTATCAGTGTATTTAACCCATCGTGGTAAGCATTGCCGATGCAGGGTTAAAAGGACAGGGCTATTGCAACCAGACCACTTGTTTAAAATAAAGTGACCTAGGTGATTTTAGTGGTCCTTTAAAAGATAATTTATAAAACTGATGAATCTCATTTTTTTCCCTGAAGCTCAGTAAAAGATTTGCTTTGTGTAATATTGACATTATTACATAATTCATTATCTTGGACATCTCTCCAACCTGTTTCTGGCAACCGTGGATCCTTCATGTTGCGTAGCAGACTTGGGTAGTAGTACCTTCCATTGCTTGCACTAGAGCTTAATGCTTGTAACCTCCCGTTGCCAGATTCTGATGTAAGAATTGCTTGGATTGCATGCACCGTGGCCAAACATAGCAAGACAGTGTTGAACATCATTTGTTGGGATATCTGCAAAATACATATTTTCTATTGTAACACTCTCTCACACATAATTAAGCAGCATATAGTTAAGGTTAAATAACACGTTTGTGGTGGAAGTGAAATGTGCATTGGGAAAGATATACAAAGTTGTCATAAAGAAAAAAGGTTAACATTGTAAAAATTAGAGATATCAATAGAAATTTCCTGCTGTTTTCCATGGTGTAATATACACATTGAGAATATAAATGAACACATGAAACACCATAACCACTGCAGCCCACTGTTCTACTGTAAATATTCAAAGCATTACATTAGTCTCCCGGGTCCTCGCGGTGCATCTGGTCTTCTGCTGCAGGAGAAGCTGGATGTCTCTACAGAATAAAGCACGGACAACCCAGGACTGCGCTCATTGGCAGAAGGCGTTTAGTTTACGCTCTTTGATAATTTGCATGGTCCTGCATGATCCTGCTATGTTCTGTTGAGCTAATTGGATTCAGCTGGACAAGACTGAATGGGCTGGACAAGATACATTTTGTTTAAAATAAAAATCTGTATCTAATATAAAAATGTAAAAAATAAAATCTGGTTTTCAAAACTGATTACTATTATGTCGGCATTCAGATGTATAATATTTATAAACATACCAAAACAAGATGTGGACTAAATGTTAGGATTTTTCTTTGAAAAGGGAAAGAAACATTTAACCAAATTAAAACAAAAACAGAACAAAAACGAAAAGAAGAAGCCTTTAGGTTGTTTATATTTATATTATATTGTTTATATGTGAAAGCTCAATTTCCATAATCTTTACAAACCATCTTTCTGCCCGCGTACATCTTTTAAAGATCAAAATCAATTATATTATAAATCTAATAAAAATAAAAGTATAATAATAATAAAAGTATTATAATAATAAAAGTTTCATTAAATGTAATAAACTTTTAAGAAACAAGAAGTGAAAATATGATGACCGTTGCTTTTAAAGAACCACATACTCAATTTAAACAGGAAACATCCCATGACTATATACTATTTAAGATTACATACCGTAGCATGAAAAGGAGAGAACTGCCTGTACTTAATTAGTTATAGCCTGAAAGGCCTGAAAGGCATAAATGCATTGGGGCACGGTAAGAAAAAATGATAATTTGTGCATTACTGAATTATTGCCTCTGAACACAGAATACACAATTAGTGACACGGCCATCATGATGCTATTGTCAATAAAAGATGCTAACAGCATGGTAAACCGTTGATATACGAACCCTTAATACACCACATGTTTAATGAAAAATTGGATAAATAGCCTAAAATTACACTCAAAGTCCCATAACCACTAAAGCATGCTTCTGGTGTTACCCTAAAGGAGAATCCAGTCACCATGCAGAAGTGTACTCATTGATAGAGAGCATCACATGAGCACTTTTAGCAAGGAACATAGTACTGGATCAGCCAACCTTAGCTCAGTGGAGACATCTACTGCAGAAGAAGACTGGATAAGGTGCACCCAGAAAACCAACGTAGTTTGTCAAATCAATCCAAAACAGTGGGACAAATTACTCTGAGAGGGTACCAGGGCACTTCTGGCACCATAACCTATTTACTCAAGCAGTTAGTTGAGAGGCCTCAGACTCAGACTGAGATCTCCCTAAAATAATTTGATCAAATATGCTTTATTTTTGGGCGAAATCTAGTCAGTAAAAACATCGGGAAAGAGCTACAAGAGACGCCATTCCTTAGCATCGAGAATACAAAATACAAAATCCATTCACCAACGCCAATAACTAAGTGAGTTGTGAGGATAAAAGCATTCAGCTGAACTTTGCATTTCATGATCGAACGCACGGTAATTCTAGATATATTTTACCCAATAGAATTGTGCTTCTGGTTATTTATTATTTTTCTCTTAAGGAAGTTACTGAATGTGACGAAACATGATGAGATTGAGGCAGAAGACACCAGGCAAAAGAGAGAGCTGATGCAGCAAGTATCCTGCAAGTGGATCAGATGAAGGTCTGGTTTACTGCATGTTTTAAATCACAAAATATTTGCACATTATTTTATCAGTGCTTTTCAATGCAATTTTACTCTAAGAGTATTTTTTCTTTTAAGGGGTTGATTTATGGGGATATACCATTACAAGAAAGATGATTTTCAAGGTCTTGCTACTATGCCATTCCTATACAAGTAATACCTCCTGTATTATGTCCTTAGATAAAGAAGAGAGAAGTTCAGCAAACAAGGGAATTTACTGAAATTAGTGGTTGAGAATGCATTTTTCCTTTTCCAACAGCATGTCAATAAGACAGAATTTGCTTAGACCTTTTCCGATGGCAGTGAAAGAGTTTATTGATTTTCGGTACTAAATCTACTAAATATATTATTTTTATCAACATTGTGACAAATCAACATTTGTACAACTCATGGTCTTTTTTAAGTTCAGTCATTAACAGACTAAAAATATATATTATATTTATATATAATAAAATAATATTATATATATATATATAATAAAAAAATTTAAAAAAAAATCTATATAACAATTTTAGTTTAGTGAAACACAACCCTAATACCTTCATACCAATCTTCGCCATAAATAAATATCAATACTATTATATAAAAAAAATTAGACTACTATAAAAATTTGACTTTTTGTCCTACACCAACGTCAGTATTTTATTGCATTCAAAATCTAGATGCCACAATTCTTTTATCTCTGTCATCTATACTCATCAGATGAAAAGTAAGTGAGTCTAAAAGTGACTCTAAACCTGTTTTTAAGTAAGGGAAAAGTTAATGGAAGCATTTTGCCTTAAACAAGCCAAAACAGACAAAAAAAAACGTTGCAATGTTGCATCATCTAAGACTAACTGCTATCTTTTTATGTAATAATTATGTCCACAGGAGGATTTAAAGCAGTTTTCACTCTCTTAGCATATGGTTAACCTCAGAGTAGAGAATAAAAGCCGGAATTCGCCCCGACATTTGAGCATATACTACAGTTGGTGCACTAATCAACTGAACTATCTAAAATGGCTTTATCGTTATCGCCTACTTATTATTATTTATATGATAAAATCAGGACTTATGTTAAACATTTTTATTTTTTATATACTTTTAAAGGTACATTTTACTGTTCATCTTAGTAAATATGGCATTTGCTAAGCTGGACATTTGAGACATTTTACAACTATCAATTGGAAGAGCAGTAACATAGAAAGAAACATTGACTTACCTTGCAGGTGATGGAACCTCTAGTTGAAGGCAGAGAGTAATGTTGATTTCAAGAGAATTAGCTTTATATAGGCAATGCTGACTGATATATTGTAGTGATGTTTACAGACAAATCAACATGTAGGAGGGTGCTGTTACTTAAAAAAACCCACTGAATAAAAGACTTGTTTATATACTCCCACTAGAGATCATAATACTGATTAAATGTGAGTTATGTTAAAAGCCTGGATGTTAAACCATTCAGATTTTTTTCCCCTTACTCACTTTGTGAAGGGCTCATGGAGTGGATTGCTCACTAGAAAGCTGATTGTTGTTATTTAATATTTTTAAGTTGTGTATTACATCTGAAAATATTTTCTAAGGATATTCAGTTTGTTTATATATATATATATATATATATATATATATATATATATATATGTGTGTGTGTGTGTGTGTGTGTGTGTGGATGTATATACTGGCTAAATTGAGAAAAAGAATTGGAATATAAACACAACTGTATTAATCATTTCACTAACAACACAAATATATGTAGTTGGTTTGCGCCACAATTGAAAAATCAATATTGCATTCAAAGCTTTTGTGGGTCCATCTGCCTTATTGTACATACACTGCACAGAAAACTATGTGAATAATTATGTGTAGGGTTGTGAAGGCTGCAATTGTAATGTCATTTGAAATATAGATACTTGAGTTGAGCCAGGCAACTGTATTTACTGTATATACACTATAGGCCCCAAAATGTTTGAATTCCGCCATGGGATTATCAATTTGCATTCCCCAAAATGTCAACTGATGGAGAAGGTGGCACATTTCACAGCCGGGGTGCACCAGTCCTTTTCCAATAGGCGTGACATTCGTTAAGGTCCTTTTATAAATCTTTTTAGCCCTCAGTTACCTGCTCAGATTTTGTGTGAGCTTTGGTGTGCATTTCTCTATACTATACTACTCTATGCTGCTATACTACTATATTACTGTGTGTTCCTGATAGACTTGTGCATTTTTTGCATTTTTGGCTGAATCGCAATTCGGCTGAATTTAGACAGATTGGTGGGTCGGCCGCAGTCCGACACGAGGACATGAAACCGAACAAAAGACTTGTGCAATGGACGAATATGTTTGTCTGATTTATGACTAATAGTTCTGTCGGCGGCGCCAAAAAAAAAGATCATTGAGGGGAGAAAAGATGATTGAAGGCTTGGGGAGAGCCGCTAAATATTGATTTTATTCACAGGTCTAATGAGAAGAGACCAACAGGAAAAGAAAGGGGAAGAAATTATATATATGTTATAAATGTAATATATTTTAGATTAATATAGATTTCCTTCAGATCCCACTATTTTTTTCTCAGTTACTTTTTCTATGTTGCTGAGATTTTAAAGCTTTGAGGCCTGGACTGAAATTAGCATTGTCTGACTTTTCCTCAAGGATTTCCATTGTCTAATTATACACATGGACTATATTTTTGTATTACCGAGACCTGACTCTAACCTTAAATGGGTCATGGTCATTTGATGCATTCTGCTGCACAGCAAACCCATTCACCCCAAACATGACAGAGGCAAAATAATATAGGGGATTATAGGGGATTAAACTGTGGCACCCATGGTGGGATGAGGGAAAAGGTGGCACTGGGATGTAGAGAAGGTGAAATGATGACACTGGTGACACTTCTGATGAGTTGTTGAAATGGTGTCTCTGAGGTTTGTAGAGGAATGAAACAGTGATATATGAAAAGAGAATGCATCAAGTGGTTTTCCCAAATTCAACTGAAAATGCAACTTATAATGACTTCTGAAGTCTCAAAATGATTCAACTCTTTATGGCAAGTATCTTTAGTACTTAGTAGAGCACCCTTTTGTTACTGTGACCTGCTGAAACAAGATGCATAGCCAGACACCAGCTTCTGGCAGAATTCCTGAAGAATCTTAGCCCATTGCTCATGAGCAAGGGCAGTTCAGTAATATTCTTTATTCTAGGGTTTGCGTGCTGAAAACGCCTTCTTCAAATCCTACCAGAGCTTTTCTATGGGGCTCAAGTCAGGTGACCGTGATGACCACTGTAGAATTCTCCAGTACTTCTGGAACCAAGCCTTGGTGGAATTTGAGGTATGCTTGGGTTCTTTGTCTTGTTGAAAGGTCCAATGATGCCCAAAGATGGCATGACATTTTCTCCTAGGATTTCCTGAATCCATCTTGCCTTCCACACACTGAAGGTTTCCAATGCCAGAGGATGTGAAGCAGCCCCAAAGCATCACCAAGCTACCACCATGCTTAACTGTAGGCAGTGTTCTTTTCAGTGTATGCTTCATTCTTCTTTCTCCAGACATGCTGTTGATCCATTGAGCCAAAAAATTCCAGTTATGTTTCATCGCTCCACATAACAGAATCCAGAGTCCCAAAACTTCTGTGGCTTATTTATATGATTTTGAGCATACTGGAGCTAACCTTTATTGTGCTTTTCTGTCAGTAGTGGTGTACATCTTGGAGTTCTGTCATGGAAACCTTTTGCATTTAGTGCATGTCTGACCGTGATCACTGAAACCTCAATGCCTGTTGCAGCCAAATCCTGTTACAGGTAGGTCTTTTGCAGTTTTTCACAACCGTCCTCAGAAATCTGGTTGCAACCATTTATAGCTTCCTTTCTCTGCCTCATTCAGCTGGTGAAACCACTGTTCCTTCAACTTTGAACTTGTGAGCTATATTCTTTTGACTTAGCCATATTTCTAACATTCAGGCAAATGTGACATTCAACAACCCCCTATCCAGTTCAGGTGTTCCAGCTCAATCATAAAGAGTATATTTTTTCTAAATATTTTTTTCCATAATCAGTGAATGTGAATAAAAATAATTCTATATAAAATGTATATATAAATAATACATTTTATATTAAATTGCTTGAATTTAAATTCAATGTTTATGGACATAAATGATAAAAAAAAAAAGATACATTCTATAATTCCTGTTTATTGACCAAGGATATGTTGTTTTTAATACAGGTGGCTAAACCGATGTTGTTGATGTGACTCTTTCATATAGTGACTGATGATAAATAAAATAAATAGCAGAACATCTACCAGTAATGGATGGATTTAATTTACTTATGTTCCCTCCTATGTGTTTACATTGTTTTCTTTGTATTAAGATGATAATATTCTATGCCCATAAAATAATGTACATTAGATATAATCAGAAATCTTTTTTTTTTTTTCGTTGGCTAGTTGCATGCTGATTTAACAGAAAGCAACTCAAAAGAAATGAGTGAATGTCAAAAGCATTTCTCTGATACACAAGTAACCTGTTTATTTGCTCCTTTGAACCCAAGTTAATTGTCAGTTTAATGAAACAACAGCTAGTGGAAATGAGAGAAAGTGGTTTATGCTTTAAACCATTAAGGTTCGGATATACCATTCCATGTGTTTACAAAATATCTAGGAAGAACATCCAGTCAAGTACTGTGTTTTTTATGTTTCTGTACCTTTGCTGTGCTTACGCATTATGTGATATTTAGCATTTGTTAGTATGACATCACTAAAATTATTGTATTTTGTTTTTCTTATTTTTTTTCTTCATTATTTGCAAGATACTAGACAATAAAACAGTGCAGAATAAAAGCAGCGATTTTGCAGAAATGAAACACCGTATGTTATCAGTGTGAAAAGTAAGGTTTAGATTTTAAGTTTTGATGACACACTTTTTATATATCTATAGAGTGTTAGTTTCTTGTATTTCTACAGGAAGGCAATTCATTATCTCCAACTGCTTCTGTAAAATACTCTCTAGTCTTCCAGTCTTCTAGGCTTCCAACTGTAGGAACACAATATTTTAGCTTTTCTTTTATATTAAATGTATTAACCTCTTTTTTTTACTCTCTATTTTTGTGAATTGAGTTCTGGGATACAGGACATAGATACAATCTGTCTGATTTCAAACACATGCAAGATCAGCTACTCTAATCATGTCCAGTCGTATCCTTACCTCTCTGCCAAACAAGACCAGGCAAGTGGTTTGGACTTTGTAGTTGGTGCCTTCTTTCACTTCCCTGAAGAGCTTCTCTGAAACTTCAAGTGGTCCTTGAATATAATATGCTTAACACAATAAAGTTCCAATTGAAATGTTACTTAAAATCGAAATATTTATTTTTTCTACACTATACCTTAACTTGATGCAATTTGATGAAATTTGACATATGGGGGCTGAGAGTGAAATGAGACACATGAAGGGGCTTTGGGGTTGAAATTAGACACATGGAGGAAAAGAAAGAGGTTAATACTTTTAATAAAACAGAAAAGCTAAAAGAGAAAGAGACACAAAGGGGTAAAATGGGAGATAGGATACACTAAAGCAGGTGAGACAATCAAAAGAGGCATAATAGACACAAAAGTGGGCAATACATTCAAAAGGTCGGTTAAGCGAAACAGGTGAAGATTCATTTTTTTGTGGTGGGGGTGATATATCTTCACCTGTGTCTCCTGCTCTCCCTGTAACTCAGTTCTTCAGCACATGAGTCTATGCCGAAGAGCTGATTGACAGGTGAAAGAAAGACCTCTTATTACAGCGACAATATAATCACCAGAACCACAACAGTTTAAAATAGTGGTTCTGGTGTCTAGAGCCTGTCCCTGCAGAGAAAATACAGTATTTACATTGCTGCCTAGGAACACTGTAGCAGAGCGCTAGTCTTAGCAGGGACTCTCCTCCGCTGGTTACTCCAACATACATTCAGGAACAAGTAGAATACTCCAAGGGAACAGCCAAATACAATAAAGTAATCCAGGAATCTCCCACCACCTCCCCAGCAACTGGATGACACTCAGCTCTGGGGGTATTACTGATTTTAATGGAGCCACACATGGTCTTTTATGTGAATCCCCATGCAAGGGGTTTCCTGCTGCATACTCCAGGGGCATTCTCAGGTCCAGGACATGTACAATCATAATCACCTCAAAACATACAGTTCCCCACAAGATAACCCCTTAAGTCCTTTATCCCCAGAAAAACTGGGTCTGAGCGCCCAAGATACTCTAAAAGCACTCAGATTCTTCAAACACAGCTGAAATGCCACCGGGGTATAGTTAAGACCGACCGCACACAAGGTGCCTCCCCAAAAAGGTCCCATGAAATTAGGCTGTGTGGTCAGTCTCTTTCGGGAGGATCAAATATGCGAAACACAAGGCATGAACTTGTTCGTGCAGACATTATTCTGTGTATCTTGTTCGGGAGTTTGCTCCCCCCGAACACCACTCTGTTCATCTGAATCCCCACGAACATAACGGAGGATGGAAGTCCCAGTGGTGTTTGCGCTGTCGAGTGTCTGATTTTAGTTCCATGTAGTCGACGACCACACACTACTGTTCACGGCTAAAGATGGCCGCCGCTTGGAATGTTCAGGAGGTTGCGTTTGGTGGAGATGTGAACAGAGGTTACTGGGGTTAACGAGTGGCACACTCCACATGTGTGGTCTGGCGTTCGGTTATTTGTTCGGTTGTCGAACAAGACATTGTTAATAGACGAGGTGGCTGCTTTTTTACCGAATGGCCAGACGGTCAGGGGAAAGGACAAGAGGATCCAGGAGCACAAAACATATGATATAACAGAGGGGGGACAAGACACGGACAGCCCATAGCAGGAATAAGGGTAACAGTCAGCCAAAGTTTGATGATCTCAGCCAAAATGAAGAACATACTCATAGGACTTCAAAATAAACAGGATAACATCGTTTTTTTTTACAGCTGTTCAACATCTTACATTCACCATTTCAGTCCCATAACCAAACTTTCCTTACTATGTCAAAGTAGTTGGACTGAAACATTGATTATGTGCAAATGCACATCTGCTTAAAATAAATCCGCTCTTTTGTTTATTTTGAAGCCTTATTAGTGCCATCTTTAATGTTAGAGTAATTGTTTTTAGTTTTCAATTTTAAGTTATTTTTTCCCCTCTAAATCTGCACACTATGCTGGCATTATTGGACTGGTATGGAATGTTTTTCCAGGGCGTGGTTTAAAAAAAATCTATATCATATATATTATATATACACACTACAGACTACACCACCTACACACACATAATTGCTGGCTTACATACTACATCCCCTATACACACTCGGAATCCTCCCCTGTACACAAACACACACTATGTCACCTACACAGACACTACAGCCCCTATGCACACACTTGCTACATTACCTACCGTCTTTCCCCGAAAATAAGACATCCACCGAAAATAAGCCCTAGCTTATTTTTGGGGGATGCTCGTAACATAAGCCCTACTCCAAAAATGTTCGGGGAATTTTCCCCAAATATAGATTCGCAGGATTCCATTCACAAGTAAAGTAATCTATGTAGGAGGACACTTGCCGTTCATAGAATCGCGGGATTCCATTCGCAAGTAAGCTAATCTATGATCGGGAAAGTTTCCCCAAACATAGATTCGTGGGATTTTATGCACTATTGCACTATTGAACTGGTCTATTTTTGGGAGAACCTGCTTTCTGAGACATGCTTCCTACAGTAGTGCATCCTCACTTGCCAACAGTGTTGTAAAAACGGTAGTCTGTAATATTTTGACACCCAAACAAAATGAGTGCAAAAAGAAAGAGCTATTCCGTTCCGTTACAAGAAAGAAATCGTGGAGGATTCCCAGGGCAGGAATCTTATGGCTTTCTGCAAAGAGCTGAAGTTGGATGTCCGAAAATGGCGAACAGAGTACAATAATCTCAAGCAACAGGTGGACGAGGGAAATACCAAGAAGCGCAAGTGTGGATCAAGTTGGTAACCATTATTTCCTGAGCTGGAAGGCATCATCTGTGAATGGATTGCTGACAGGAGAGCAACGGCTTTGGTTGTGCACAGGGCTGATATTCAAGCTTTTGCCCTTGCAAAAGCAACACAGTTTGAATTATCCCCAGATGATTTCAAAGCATCACAACACTGTCTGGATGACTTCCTTAAGCAACATGAACTGTCACTAAGAAGATCAACAACACTGTTCAAGCTGGAAGATACTGAAATTATTAAACATGCACTTGCATTCAAGTCCTTTGTTGATCATATCCACGTTTCTCAGTACCAACTCTCCAACACAATTGCTATGGATGAAACTGCAGTGTTTATGGGCCAAGGATCTTAAATGACAATTGACCACCATCAGACTCTCCCCTAGTATTCACTAGTTTAAGAAGTGCCTTAAAACCCATCTCTTTAAGAAAACTTATCGCCTCCCAGAGTAACCTCTACCTCACATACCTGTCTCTTGCTCTCTCCTAAAGGGCAGCACTTTACTCTCTCCTCCAGCTCTGCTTCACTCCCACCTTATTTGATTGCTATTTCCCTTCCTAATGTGTCTTATACCCCACCTCCTATAGACTGTAAGCTCGTTTGAGCAGGGTCCTCTTCAACCTATCGTTCCTGTAAGTTTTCCTGTAATTGTCCTATTTATAGCTAAATCCCCCCTCTCATAATATTGTAAAGCGCTATAGAATCTGTTGGCACTATAAAAATGGCAATAATAATAATACTCAGAGGGGTGCCTCTTCAATCTACATTCCCTCCTCTGGTTACAAAAGTGCAAATGTCACCTGCATTTTGACAATTCGTCTGGATGGAAAGAAAGCCCCACCTCTACTCATCACTAAGGGCAAGAAAGATAAGATTGAACTTGTTTCAGGCATTTATTTACTTGAAACCAAAACGGCCTGGTGCACACAAGCAGTTATAAGGAGGTGGTTTGATTTAATGCTGCCACTTGTTTTGCGAGGTAGCCAAAGAGGTCTGCTAGTCTGGGATTCAGCCAGCACTCACCGCGCTAAAGATATAAAGAACTTCCTTGCAGAGAAAATAATAGATCAAGTAATGATTCCTGCAGGAATGACTGACTATCTCCAGACTCTTGATATTGCAATAAACAAGCCATTTAAGAGCATTTTGAATGAATACATTGAAAAAAGAAGCAATGTTGTGACTTGGGTGAAGAATTCATGGGATAAAATCACTTACAGCTGTGTTGCCAATGCACTATGAGCAGGATACATGGACAAGAAGTACTAATTTAAGAGGAGCTATATTGCTGGACTTGAGAGATTGAGGTCAAAGCTTCTACAGGAAATGGAGAGCTATGAAGATGTTCCAGAAGAAGATGACATGATCGTCTTTGAATAAATATTTTGTGGTACATTTATTGTTGTACCATACATTAAAAATAAGACATCCCCTGAAAATGAACCCTGGTGTGTTTTTTGGAGCAAACATTAATATAAGACCCTGTCTTGCTTTCGGGGAAACACGATAGACACACACTATGCCCTCTATGCACACTCTACAGCACCTATACACACAACTCTGAACAGCCCCTAACCACTCACACTATAGCCCTTAGCCACAAATATTACACCACAAACACAACACAACTGAAAACAACCGATTTACACAAAACACCACACCACAATCAGTTCATGCTATACACACACAATCCCTGAAACATCCTGCAAACACATGCACAATACACTTTCCTGGCCCTTTTGTCCTCTGGTATTTTATAAGCAAAAACAGTGAATCATGTCATTACATTTTGTGCACTGTGCAGAACAAATACAGGGCCTTTTTCTCATGCAAGACCTCTTCAGTGGGGCTCTGTGTATGGGCTGCCCTGGAAGAGCTTTGAACCAACATGCTCGCTTTTAGAAAGAGCGTGATGATCATTGGACACCCCCTGGCATTGCCTCCTGGCTCCTTCCAACTGGACTGCTGTGATTAAAAAAAACCCTGGCCAATTTTGTTTTCCCCAGTCTGACCCTGTTTGGAACCATCTGGTTCCAAATAGTCAGATTAAACACCAAAATTCAGCATAGTTCGCTTTGAACAAATCCAGTAGAAATCAAGTTCACAAAATAAATTAATCTGCTTTCCACAGGTAAACCAATGAAACCTAGAATATTTCCCACTAACAGCACAACCAGCCTACAGGCAAAAGGTTAAAATATAGAAAGATATTTAAAATAATTGTGATACATGCCCCTGAAAAGTACCCCTGATATTCTCTGTGGTACCCTTTACCTGATAGACCACGGGAGAACCCAGTCCATCCTCCTTATTTTCCAAGGCCTGATTTCTAAAATAAGCAGCAATTGTGGCCATAACCTCCCCTACATTTTGTATACTCAACTGAATACATAATGCATTCCCGCATTCCCCACTGCTCTTTGTTTTCTGTATAGAACCCCTGTCACAATCTGTAATGTAAGTTAATGGAGATGTAACCCCACCTAACCCTAATGCTAACAGTGTCACTAGCATTAGTCATCTTCTTAATTAATAACTTGTATCCTAATACAAGAAAATTACTTTAAAATGATAGCAAGATGGTATTTAGACAGAAAGATATGAAGTCATATTTAGATGGTATTTAGACACAATGAGATCAAATCAAATCTATCCAATAGGCTTTTTTGGTTTTCACAGAGATTGTGGTCAGCAAGAAATGTATCCTTACTTTTGGTAGAAGGGCGTACAATTTAGAGATTTGTTCTCCGTCATACATTCTCTCCAAGAGGTGGTCCTATTGCCCACATCCATACAGCGTTACAATGAACACTCCAAACTATTTCAGCTCTCCTGTCACTCCCTAAAATTAACACAGAGACTGCACATATTCCCATCTCCACATTTAGTTCTTGACCTCATCATTTCCCACTCCTTGTCCCATTTACCTTGCATGTCTCCCCCTCCTCTCTTTTCTGTCTTACGTCTCTTTAGCTCTCTCCTCGTCTAGCGTCTCTCCTTCTTGTACTTGTACTCAATGCCAGAAATTCTAAAACTTTTCTTCTTCTACTTTTTTTCATTTTTTTCTCCTGTTTTTTTCTACCCTGTGGGAGTTGACTCTCCAACATATCAGATTATTTTTCTCTACTGAAAAAATTCCAAAGGCACCTGTTTATTCTCATGAGTTCCAAAGTTTATATGAACTTTTTATACACCTACTAATCTCACTTGACAGATGTAATATGATTTTATGTGACATTTTCTATCACTAAAACTCTTATATTGTATCACTGCAAACTTTTGGAAATACAAATTGTTAATTAAACAAAAAAGTCAGATCATATAATGTCATAATTGAGCCACGAACAACGCATGGTTTAGGGGTTTAGGAAGAGTACCTAAAGCTGTGTGTATGTCTGTATGAAAGGTTTTGGACAACTGGGGTCAGATGCCTGGGAGGAATTATTCCTCCACTGTACACAGCAACAGCTCCACACATGTAGCTGTATTGTACACATAGTCTGACATTCTGTAGCAAAAACCAAATAGGTTATGGTGGGGAAAAATGGTGATTGAAAACCCCTTCCACCTGAAGTCTGTGGATAGTTAATACAATGTTAAACAAAAATCTGCACACCAGTCAAGCTATAAGAGTTGCTTTTCCTACAGGAATCACAAATTTGCAGTGATGTTACTACCACAAAGGATTCTGGGTGGGCATATGCAAATTGGTTCAACAAAGAATCAAATTTTTGCCTCATTACATTTTCAACATGGATTCCTTTGAGTCAGTGTTTGCTGTATGCAACAGCTTTGAAACACAACTTAGGAACAGTGGCATTTCCAGGACTCATATTTAGGGGGCAGGGGGGATGGGGAGGGGGGCACATGAGGGGCCAGGGACAAAAGTAGGGGGTAGTTATAAAATGTGTATATGTGTGTGTGTGTGTGTGTGTGTACATACATATATATGTATATATATATAAATATACATACATGTACATGTATACATATATATATATATATATATATATATATACATACATATACATACATTCGTACATATACACATACATACACAAGGCTTGACAAATCCCAGACACCAGGTTGCCATAGCGACTAGCAATTTTGCCCTTGCGCCTGGAATTTGTCAGTCCTTTGCCAAGCCGCAAAGGAAACATTGAAGCCGGCCAACGCAGGGAGCTTTGAAGCTGGCCGCCGCGAGAAGCATATAGGCAGCGCGAGGGAGCAGTAACCTTCCTGCAGTTCTCTTCTCTGCTCCCTCGCGCACTGTTTAGTGACATGATTTCACTGCGGCCCCAGAATCACTACAGAGAATGTGCAGTGGAGCAGAGGGAGACTGCAGGAAGATCAGATAGGAGACCTACTGGACGCCAGGGAAAGATCCACTCAGCTCTCCCAAAGGTAGGCTGGTTGGGTGGATTTAAATTAAAATAAAAATAGCAATTTGTGTGTGTGTGAGAAAATGTGTGTGTGAGTGTGTGTGCATGTGTCATATATATATATATATATATATATATATATATATACATATATGAGATTCGGTGTGTAATGCGGTGAAGTATGTATGTATGTGTGTGCGGGTGAATGCATGTAGGGATGAAGTGTGTATGTGCGTGAAGAGATTATAATAAGTCACTGTATGTTGCCTGCTATGATTTGACTGTTTGCAATTTTATTGAGTTTTCACAGCAATTTTAATGTAATGACCATATGGACCAGTCCCAAGGAAAATAACGTTTTAGACAGTTCTACTTCACCCTCAATTTGGAGTGCCGTCTCTTATTGGGGGAATCTGCTACAAGGGGTTGCTATGCTCTGCATACTCTCTTGCTATATTCACTGCTAAGTTCTTGTAAGAGCTTGTTCCTGTCTTGCTCTCTGGAGGAGTCTATGGTGGTTATGGTGTCTGCTGCAGTGTTTGGAGTCCTCATGAAGCGCTAGGAGCATCCTTCAACGGAGGTACCCAGTCGGGGTGCCAGGTGATCCGTTACAGTATACTGTCTTCTGAGGGGTGTAGAGAGTGGGATAGGGAAGGGCTTTATCATTTTATCTTTAGTAATTGTTTTTTAAAAAAATTATAATATTCCCCTTTCCTTGATCTTACCTTGCATGGACAGGATGGCACAATCAGCTCGGTGAGGCTGCCTATACATCGGGTCCAGGGGAAGTCACAAGATGAGAGGTATTTCCTCAAGCACTTACAAAGACTGACCCATACAAACCCACAGACTAACACCCCCACACAGAATGCAGCCCCCCCACAATATGACCCATACACACAAAGACTGACCTATACACACGCACAGACTGCCCCCCACAGACTGACCAATACACACACACAGACTGCACCCCCACCCACAGACTGACATTGACATACCTCAAAAAAACTGCAAATCCACCTGTATTTTTTAGTGAATGTGCAATAATGAAATAAACAAACTTAACTTATTGATACACAGCTTCCCAAAGTTATCTCCAAGATGATAACCATATAGCATAGATATAGTTACATATAGTTACATAGTTACATATCTGAAAAGAGACTTGCATCCATCAAGTTCAGCCTTCCTCACATTTGCTTTTTGCTGTTGATCCAAAAGAAGGCAAAAAAAAAACCAGTTTGAAGCACTTCCAATTTTGCAACAAGCTAGGAAAAAAATTCCTTCTTGACCCCAGAATGTGAATCTACAGCTTAGACTGTGTGTCAGGATTGTAGCGTGTATATCTCCCGCAAGGGATTATAATGTGATAAAGTAAAAAGAATGGAAAAAGGGGGTGCCCCCAAGAATAAGTGGCCTGTGGGATACGGCCCAACATGAATATCCCTAGCCAAGTCCTCTGGTGGACTCCAGGGACCTTGGTCCAAGCACATGCGGCCAGGATATATATATATATATATATATATATATATATATATATATAACATCCAATAAGAAAAGGCTGCTCTCCGGGCTTAAAACAAAAGTTTTATTGAAAAAATTTAAAAATGATGACCAACGATGTTCTGTTGTCTCTGACCCTGAGGAAGGTCCCAATCGGGGACCGAAACGTTGGTCATCATTTTAAAATTTTTTCAATAAAACTTTTGTTTTAAGCCCGGAGAGCAGCCTTTTCTTATTGGATGTTGTACCTATTGGAGCTCTGGTGGTGCGCCCGGCATTTGGAACATTTTAAGCATGAGTGTAGGGGATGTTGATATTTTTATATATATATATATATATATGTATATATATATATACATATATATATATATATATAATTACATAGTTACATAGCTGAAAAGAGACTTGCGTCCATCAAGTTCAGCCTTCCTCACATTTGTTTTTTGCTGTTGATCTAAAAGAAGGCAAAAAAAAAAAACAGTTTGAAGAACAATTTTGCAACAAGCTAGGAAAAAAATTCCTTCTTGACCCCAGAATGGCAGTCAGATTTATCCTTGGATCAAACAGTTATTACCCTATATTGAAAGGTTATATTCTTGAATATTCTGTTTTTGCAAGTATGCATCTAGTAGCTGTTTGAACATCTGTATGGACTCTGATAAAACCACTTCTTCAGGCAGAGAATTCCACATCCTAATTGTTCTTACAGTAAAAAAAAACTGTCTTTTGCATTAGACAAAATCTTCTTTCTTCCAGTCTAAACGCATGACCTTGTGTCCTATGTAAAGTCCGATTTGTGAATAGATTTCCACACAATGGTTTGTATTGGCCCCAAATATATTTGTATAATGTTATCATATCCCCTCTCAGGCGATGTTTTTCTAAACTACAGTTGTAAGAAAAAGTATGTGAACCCTTTGGAATGATATGGATTTCTGCACAAATTGGTCATAAAATGTGATGTGATCATCATCTAAGTCACAACAATAGACAATCACAGTCTGCTTAAACTAGTAACACACAAAGAATGAAATGTTGCCATGTTTTTATTGAACACACCATGTAAACATTCACAGTGCAGGTGGAAGAAGTATGTGAACCCTTGGATTTAATAACTGGTTGAACCTCCTTTGGCAGCAATAACTTCAACCAAACGTTTCCTGTAGTTGCAGATCAGACGTGCACAACGGTCAGGAGTAATTCTTGACCATTCCTCTTTACAGAACTGTTTCAGTTCAGCAATATTCTTGGGATGTCTGATGTGAATCGCTTTCTTGAGGTCATGCCACAGCATCTCAATCGGGTTGAGGTCAGGACTCTCACTGGGCCACTTCAGAAGGCGTATTTTCCTCTGTTTAAGCCATTCTGTTGTTGATTTACTTCTATGCTTTGGGTCATTGTCCTGTTGCAGCACCCATCTTCTGTTGAGCTTCAGGTGGTAGACAGATGGCCTTATGTTCTCCTGCAAAATGTCTTGATAAACTTGGGAATTAATTTTTCCTTCGATGATAGCAATCCGTCCAGGCCCTGACACAGCAAAGCAGCCCCAAACCACGATGCCCCCACCACCATACTTCACAGTTGGGATTAGGTTTTGATGTTGGTGTGCTGTGCCTTTTTTTCACCACACATAGTGTTGTGTGTTTCTTCCAAACAACTCAACTTTGGTTTCATCTGTCCACAGAATATTTTGACAGTACTGCTGTGGAACATCCAGGTGCTCTTGTGCAAACTGTAAACGTGCAGCAATGTTTTGTTTGGACAGCAGTGGCTTCCTCTGTGGTATCCTCCCATGAAATCCATTCTTGTTTAGTGTTTTACGTATTGTAGATTCGCTAACAGGGATGTTAGCATTTGCCAGTGACTTTTGTAAGTCTTTAGCTGACACTTTAGGATTCTTCTTCACCTCATTGAGCAGTCTGCGCTCTGCTCTTGCAGTCATCTTTACAGGACGGCCACTCCTAGGGAGAGTAGCAGCAGTGTCGAACTTTCTCCATTTCTAGACAATTTGTCTTAGCGTGGACTGATGAACAGCAAGGCTTTTGGAGATACTTTTATAACCCTTTCCAGCTTTATGCAAGTCAACAATTCTTAATCGTAGGTCTTCTGAGAGCTCTTTTGT